ATAAATAAATTTTTAAATAATTAAGCAATTTTTTTGTTCTATTCACATAAATGAGAGTCTACATTTATGTTTATAAATTTAATTTAGGAAAAGATTAAACATCACTAAACCGAAAATCTCTATACAAGCTGATAGATGTAAGAAAATAATGTGAAGCAGTAGAGGAAAAACATTTCCTTCAATTTTTAAGAGCTGTACTGAAAGCTTCTGTAAATTAGGTGTTATACCCATTGAAGCTGTGGCACACTCGAAATTAGGGATTGTGTAATAGGCGTTGCTATTTTTGAACCAGGAACGACGCTATGTAAATGGATGTGACACTTACTCACTTATTTAGAGCTATAAAGTAGTTGATACAACTCCAATTCCAATACGATGATATAACATAATATATTATAATGAAATATAAAATAAATAAAAATGTAATGAAATTTCTACCCCAAAAATATAAACAATAATAGTTAAATATTTTACTTTAATATTTACAAACAGCATTAAACTAATTTAAACTGTATTCACGCATCTCATCTCTACATTGCCATGGCCTAGCTCTTAGCACTTATATGCCTACAATTTGATAGCCATTACGGTGACCGCAGTGTGCGGTGCTGGTGGTTGAATCACAGCGATTCCCTGGTCATCCCTGTAGTCCGCATAGGGCACTGACAGCACACAATCCATGCCCAGGGCAGCCATCACACGAGTGGAGTAGAGGCTGGTGCAGGTGGTGAATAGTAGAGGTAATCCCTTGGCACGACCCAAGTCCATTAGGGCACTGACAAGCCGCCGTCCCAGGCCCTGACGTCGCACCGCCGCATCCACTGCCAGTATGCTCAAGTACAGGGTATCGGCCACGTTGTAATGCTCAAAGATTCGCGCTCTGCGCTCCACATCGGAGAGGAAGTAATGAACATGCTCAATTAGCTGCTGCGGCTTCTGCTCATTTACGTCGAGCCAATTCTGTTCCAGATCGCTGGGCCGCAGTATGCCAGCGAAAGCCACGCCCACAATGCGCTCCCCATCGAGGGCAACGAGAGAAGTGCCCTGACGTATTAGCGATAGCCGATACTCTCGCCTCTTTGGATCATCGTGAGCCACCGGCTGAGCACCTGGCGTCTGCATCAGCGGCTCCTGGCCATAAAAATGATCGCCCAAGAAACGAGTTGCCTCCTCGATATCAATCTCTTGCATTAATCGAACGATCACCATGATCTACATTCACTAACTGAATGAATTTGTTAAACACTAAACGAGCTTTTCTATTGGCCTTATCGCTAAGAGCTTTTGCTCTGGAAATATTTCATTAATCGAACTGATAAACAATTGTTAGTGTGGTCATATTGACAAATTATTACGCATAACAATAATTCTAAAACTTGGAAACACGAATTTGATAGCAGCTATAGAAATTATAGAAAATATTAATTGGAAATAATCTAATCTTGAACTAATCTTGAAATCGTTTACTACAAAATTGTTTTTTTTTTTTTTTTTTCATTTATCAGTTTGAAGTATTAGCTCTTGAATACAAATGAGAGTCCCATCTTATCCACATTTTTGTTTAGTATTTTGTTTTTAGTATTTTTTTTTTGTTTTTTGTTTTTTTTTTGTTTTTTTTTTTTTTTTTTACAGAATTGTCCCAACATATATAAGATCTGATTAGATTTTTACTCACATGTACTTTTTTTTATTTTTATTTTCTTATCAGTCGGTAAATAGGAATTGTAACAATTCCCTTTATTCAAGCAAACAGTGCCTAAAATTCAATTCAGATATCATTAAGAAACCAAAACAGAATTAATATAAATGTGCGAAATCAAAGCTGTGATGTTGTCATCATGCTGCTTTAATATTTTTATTATCATGTTTATACTGCTACAATAAAAATTGAATTTAAATTGTCTTTTACTTTTCCGTTTTTTGCCTGTGTTGATTTGGCGATTCTTATAGAGCTAACAATCATATTTACTCATGACAGCAAATAATAGCTTTGTTTACTTTTCTTCATATTGGGGTCAGCTTGATAAGTTTTTGCATAAATTATCAAATGCAAAGCATTTGATTATTATGTCTCAAGTCTGAAATGGCTCAGCTAGGAAAAAAACACATTATTGATAAACCTCAGCGCAATTGATTACCATTAAAACTTAATATTTACTTAAGTTGAGAAGTATCTATTTAAGTATTATTTTACTAGATTCAAAGTACAAAAATGCTCAATTTCTTAACTGAAATAAATATGTTAAACGGCTCAGAGAAAACGAAAATAATTATAATTATTTAAAATTAAAAAAAAAAATTGTATGTAATTTTAAATGTTGGATTTCCTTTCCACTCTTTTCTTGTAAATTTGTACAAAAAGTAATTTAAATTTAAATATTTGCTTAAGCAAGTCTATCTAGAAGATAATATATACAACGAAATTTCCATACACCCCAAGCGCAGCTGCTGTTCGCAAGAGCCAGGGTATCTACTGGTCAAGCACACCATAATTATTATTAATCTGATTTCACGAACGCTTGCAATAATTATGTAGGGTTGTTTTCTGATTGCTCTTATCAATAAAACCTTTTGGCTTATATACATCACGTTTTCAAGAATATACGAATTCATACCACACAGCGGGAGATTAATTATAGACTCAGCAAATTATTAAAAATAGAATTTTAATCAAATCAAATTAAACTTATAGAGCCTGCTGTTCTCCGACTAGAAAAATGTCTTATACAGTCCCGGACTGTACAAGGGCATTTCCTGCAGCTTGATGGCCATCACACTCGCCTCGGTGTGCGGCTCTGGCGGCCGAATAACCACGTTGCCATCCTCATCCTTGTAGTCCGCATAGAGCTCCGAGTGCACGCACTCCATGCCCAAGGAGGCCATCAGGCGCGTCGAGTACTGGCCCGTGCAGGTGGCCACCATTAGGGGATAGCCCCTGGTTCGGCCCAGCTCCATGAGCGTAACGACAAGCCGTCGCGCCAGTCCCTGACGCCGCATCGTTGAGTCCACAGCCAATGTCTTCAGATAGAGAGCATCTGTGACGTCATAGTGCTCAAAGAACTGCGCGTGTTTCTTAATATTGCACAGAAAATAATGAATATGCTCAATCAAGAGCTTCGGCTTGCGCTCATTGACCTCCCGCCAGTTCTGCTCCAGATCGCTGGGATGCATGACACCAGCAAAGGCGACACCCACAATCCGACCCTCTCGACTCTGATCGACGGCAACCAGAGAGGTACCTTGGCGCACCAGCGACAGCCGATACTCGCGCTTCTTTGGATCGTCATAGATCAACGGATGATTGCCGGGCGTCAGCATCAGCGGCTCGTGCCCATAGAAATGATCGCGCACAAAGAGGCTGGCTTCATCGATATCATCGATTTTCATTTCCCGCACAATCGTTGTCATCTTGCCAGCTATGAAAACTAACTGCAGCTCTCTGTCAATTTACGGTTTTATGACAGCCATTCCAGTGGGCTTATCTCAGCAGATAATAAAACCTAATTACCTGTACTTGAATTCAAGTTTGCAAACTCTAAACATATTCAGGCACCTACATTGCAGAGATAGCACCACTTGACTGATAAAACAGCAAACGTTTGCCCGACTCCACTTGCATATACCCTATAATTCAATCAGCTGAAATATATTTTTTAATACAAGTTGAATCTTTCTACTCATAGACTAAATCTCGTCTCATGTTTTATATAATCTCTCATATAATACTTGATCTCTCTAGTTTTGTTATCGATTGAAAATGTTATCGGAAATCTTATGTAAAATTATATTTACTACATCTTTAGTGCTAGAGTTTCAAAATTTTAAATATAGATTCCTATGTATTTTATATAATTTTAATTTTTATAATAATCCACCTCCTCCCTCGATGCAAATCTCAGAAAATTTTCAAATAAAACTGATATACATACATCATTTCATATAATCTATTGTTTTATTCAAATTTCGATCTCTATTTTTCAACCAAAAATTGTTGATTATTTTCAATACATATATACCCTAATATACCCTACAATTTCAATACCATTACACTGGCTTCTGTGTGTGGTGCTGATGGCTTAAATACTATATTGCCATCGTCATCTCTGAAGTCGCAATAGTTTTCCGAGTGCACACACTCCATGCCGAGCGACGCCATCAGCTTTGTCGAGTAGCAACCGGTACAGGTGGCAACCAACAGTGCGAACCCCTTGGCTCGACCGACATCGACCAGGGCCGTCACCAGTTGTCGTCCCAAGCCTTGGCGCTGCATCGTGGCATCCACGACGAGCACCTTCAAGTACAGACAGTTCGAGACGTTGTAACGCTCAAAGAACTGGGCATTTCTCTTGATGTTGGTCAGAAAGTATGCGATGTGTTCCATATATTTCGTTCGTTTCTTGTCCCTCAACTCATTCCAACTGTGGTCCAATTCATTTGCGCTCAGCACACCCGCATATGCCACGCCCACAATGCGATCGACGCCCGTGCTCCGATCGACAATAACCAAGGAGAGGCCTTCCCGTACAGCCGACTCATCCAAACTGGCATTCAGTCGCTCACATTTGCCATATGACTCCAAAAGCGGTTCGTGTTTCATAAAATGTTCCCGAAACAAGCGACTCGCTTCATCGATATCTTTTACAGTTAATTTGCGCACGATCGTTGTCATATTGCGAGCTTCACTCTCAAACTGAGCACTGTTACAGAGCTTTTGTATATAATATTCTCTCTCTTATTGTAGGCAGCTGAAGAAACTGCGAATGAGCTTACAAGAAAGCTAAAGATAACGAGAACTTAAGACGACAAAGATGATCTGTAATCTGAGAGTCTTTTGTTCAGAGATAATATATTTATATTATATACGTTGTGCATATATGTTTGTATATATATCAGAAACTGGTTGCTCTGTGACTTGCATATTTCGTTGGATTTTGCATTAATTGATTGATCAACTGAAACAAAAATAGTTCGGCAGATGTATTTATCTTTAAATGATGATTGATAAACTCAAGTAAAGTCTGCTGCTGTAGCGGAATATCTACAATATTCCATATTCGACTAATGATTCTATATATTGCATGTAAGATTTTGTATTAAAGAGTTTGGGAATATTTAATTTATTTTTCGCTTATAACAATGACTGGCAAAATCTTTTTGCTTGCAATGCCTCTATAGTATTTTAAAAAAAAAAAAAAAAAAAAAAATTATAATAATAATAATAATAAAGTTACGGCTTATCAGCTCCCAACTTAAGTATGAATATGATAATAAATTATAAGTTATATTAAAGCATAAGTGTAAAAAGGCATCTGAAAATAATTTGATAAACAATACATTCAACACACATTTATGCTTTTCATTCCAAGTAAAAATAAATACTCGAGTAATAATTTATATTTATTTATTTCTTAATTATTATTGATTTATAATTTTATTTAATCATCTATTACACACTAAGTTCACTGATAATTAAAATTAACAAATTTGTGACTTACTTATACATATATTTTTACCAATGTAGATAACAAGTATATCGAGTCATGGAATAAACTGCTCAGAGTTTTATAACCATGATACGTATATGTGTATGTGGTGCAGGTGGATTGAACACAACCTTTCCGTTGTCATCCTTGTAGTCCGCATAGGCCTTCTCGTAGACGCACTCCATGCCCAGGGCTTGTTTCTGGCGTGCCGAATAAAAGCTGGTGCAGTAGGCCACCATCAGGGGGTAGCCCTTGGAGCGACCCACTTCCATGAGCGCGGCAGCCAGACGTGCGCCCAGTCCTTTGCCACGCATTGAGGCAGCCACATTCGTTACGTGGGAGTAGAGTAGCTTGGAGACATTGTAACGCTTGAAGAGATTGACTTCGATTTCCACTTTGGACAGAAATACCGCAATGCGTCCCCAAGTATTTGGCTCCATGGCGGCGGCCTCTTCGCGATGCTTATCCAAATCGCTGGGGACCTGTGCACCAGCCAGCACCAAGCCCACAATGCGTCCATCATTGTTTTCATCCAGAGCCAAGAGGCAGGTGCCCTGCTCTATCATGGAAATGTGATATTCGTCGTTCTCCTTCTCATAGCATCTCTGCACATTCTCGCCCGAAGACGCGCACAACGGTTCGCCATTATAGAAATTGTTGCCCATAAATAGCTTGACGTTCTGATAGTCCGACACCTCCATAATACGGATGAGTATGCCATCTTTTGTGCCCAGCGCGCTTGACATGTTTAGTATTTTGATTTGGTCATAGAACTAACTCAACTTTTCGCCTAGCGCAACTATATATATGAGGTCTAATTGAGCTCTTATCAGTGCGAGGCGTGTGTATGTAGTATATATGTATATTATATTGCACGCTTTTTGACAAACACTTTAGACGACGTACACTTAATTTCAATTCGAGTATTTGCTGGACTGAGCACTTATCAATGAGTATGAAATTAATTTCACATGGAAACAATATTAAAACTTTTTGCTACAAATAATCAGAGCTATGATGACTATTTATTGATGAGATTTCCATACACGTTTTGATTTTTTTTCATATGATTCAGTATTTGGCCAGATGTTATAGCCAAGGTTTGGAGATAATAACGTAGATAATATGGAACGCTTTGAAAGGCGTGGTGTGACTTTATTCATATGAAATGGAATATAGAATTTTATATTCTTATTATAGAACAATATGATATATATAGTAGTAGTATAAGAGATAGTAGTTTAAACGTGCAACTTGAAAGCTTTAATGATAATAGAATCATTTTTGATTATAGTTTGATATGTCTCAGGAAGAAACTAAACAACGAAAAAGTTGCAAATAAATAAACATATGAAAATCTAGGAACTCTACTCTAAATCAAATTTAATTTGTTCTATTACAACTTATATGATTTTGAAAGCATGCAGCTGAATTGTTCATAAAATACTTCACCGAGAGATTTAGAGATCTATCGCGAACTTTGGTATAGGACCTCCACCTGGAACTTCTCCTGTTCCAAAAACTGGAGACAGAATGCAAAAGGTAATTTCCCACATGTAAACCAAATTTTTCTGTCTTGAAACCCTATCACTAATCCCTAAATAACATAAAGTCTAATAAAAGCCAAAATCTTTCACCGTAGAAATAAAGTACATCTAACTCTTAAATTGCCTATAGTGCAGCCCTTTATGCAGCTCCCTCCTCTTTGTCTGCATCAAAAATCCAAAAATTAGAAACGCTTTAAGCAGCCACAATAACAGAGGGGAACAGACAACCAAGAAAACACTGAACTGTTTGAGTGGGAGGGCGCCCTGTGTGCCGTCGTTTGGTCTGGACGAATGCCGGCAAATTCCCAAACTGGCCAAAAACCAACATAATTTACATGTCTGCTGGATAACTTCGACAGAGAGAAACAGTGCAATGTGTTAATAAAGGGGCGGTGGGGGAGTAGCTCCAGGGGAAAATGGGGTACTCCGTCTGGACCTGGGCAGTCTGTACAAGCCAAACAGTCTGTTGGCCATGTTATGCCAGACAAGTTACAGTTGTTGCTGCTGCTGCTGGTGCTGCCGTTTGTTGCTCTTGTTGCATGCTTTGCTCGTCGTCAGGTGCTTAAAGACCCCCAAACTGATTCTCTTCAATTTGCCCGTCGCAAGTTTATCAAAGTTAATCAGAAATTAAGCAGTCGGGAGCTTTTCATGCGCTGCTGATTGAAATAAATTGTGTTAGGCGATTTTAAATTAATTTTTATTAGCTCGCACTTTGACACTGTTCAAAGAAAATGAAAAAAAAGAAGAGAACTACTACGTGTATATATGTATGTATTTAAATACATCATAAAAATGTGATATGCTGAAGCCGCAGGAGTTGCACAGTTTGTGACGCCCACTCGTGCCACGCCCAGTATGCAACGCGCTGTTGCATACTTTTAGGTGGCATGCACAAGGCAAAAATTTTGCCTCAAATATTTGCACAAGTTGCATTTTTGATTTATGTTCGTGCAACGTGACCCAAATTGTTGCAGGTTGCACAACTAATTAAAAGTGAAAAGTTGACAACATTCTCCAGTAAAAATTTTGTATAAAGTATACATGTATAAAAATCTCTCTCTCTCTCTCTCTCTCTCCGTATATATTATATGGTATAAAGCTCACACTTTTGTTGTTGTTTTTTTTTTTTTGTCCATAGCCCGATAATTTATGGCGCACATTTGCTGAAAAAGTTGCGACCACAGCAGAAAATTATTAATGAAAATTCAATCAAAGTTTGCGCGCGCCAGTGCCACGCGGCATATGTTCTATATATATATATAGTATATTATACTTGCAACACACACACATGACATATATGCCCCGAGCTGTGGCACATCGGCGACCTCGAGTCCGCCCGACCGCCCGCACTTGTATCTTTGTCTGGGTGACCCTAATGAAGATTAATTCAGACCAAGCGTCGCCCAGTGCTGCTATGTGCTCTTGCTTCCTCTTCAAAATTAAAAGAAATAAAATTCTAGTCTAGATGACGCTCTAACGAAGACCGAAGAGCACCAGCGACGATCCCAGATGTGAAACTACTTGCTCACTGCTGATTAGGTTGACAACAATGCCTTGAACCAAGCAAACAATTTAATCAAATCATTTTCATTGATTAAGATTTCTATCGTGATACTGGAACGACCATAAACCCTATAGAACGACTGAAATTTGAATGTGGGCAGTGCATGAATAATGAATACACTATTTAGAAGAGGGTTTTGAGAGAATTTTAAATAAAATAATATGAGAAAAATAAAACAGTTCTCTATTCTAATAAAGTCGAAAAATTATTATGAATATTCAAACTTAATTTAATATTTTGAATTTATTTATTTATTTATTAATTTGTCGATAGATTTTCTTCATTTTCCACCCAAAAATTATATAAAAAATATATAATATTTAAAAAAAATGCAAGCATTAATATATGATTATTAATATTGACTTAAAAAATTTCTAGAGGATTAAATTCATTAATTGCAGTAAAATAACTGCGGTAAACAATACTCCTTAAATATATTATTTTATTCACTGACCAAGAAAGATTGTTTTAATGTCTGACTTCACGTGTATTATTATTATTATTATTTTTTATTTTATTTTATTTTAATTTTTTTTTTTTCCGAACGTTGTATATAAGCCAATAAAGAAATGGAACTAAATTAAAAATATATATTACATAGAAGAATAAAATCAATATATGCATATATAGGTAAGTTTAGAATTTAAAAAAATTAAACATTAAAAAAAAAAAAACAAAAAAAAAATTGATTGAGAAATCAAATATGAAATGAAAATAGAATTTTTAATAATGAAATTCTTCTTATATATATTTCAACAATGAACTGCAATAACTTAAGATAATTATGTCGCAACTTTTGAACTTAACGCAGTGAAACTAAATACTTTACACAAAAAGTTAATCAGGCAAATGTGAGGGGGAACATTTGCCACTTGTGCCACTTGATTTCGATGATATGGTTGGCAATTAATTTATTAAACTATTTTCTGATGCGACGTTGGAAGCAGCCACCGCGGGGTATCAAAATCTTCAGCCTCGATTTTTTATCACTCAGCCAGGGGGTCTCACTAATTAGTAAAGAAAAACTCGACCCATTGAAATAGGCAGAGCGAAGCAAGTGCAGGGAGAGACTCTAGCCAGAGGGTCTGCCTCTGCCTCTGTCTCTGTCTTTGGGTCTGGGTCTGGTCTGCCTACACAATGTGTAACGCATTATTATAATGCCAGCTGCCTACTGACTAACTAAATTCAATTCAATTCGTTTATCTGATTTTCTTTCAAGTGGTCAGTGGCTTCGTTGCCGACTCGCTCTTTATAATTTTTCCTCTTTTTGTATGAATATTTATAAAACACAAAAAAAAAACTGAAAAAAAAATAACTCTGTGTGGGGCATTCATTATTTATGTTTTCTTTGTGTTTTCTTTTATTTTAAATAAACAATTTTTCCAGTTTGTTTATTTACTTTGCATTTTTCAGCGATTTATTTGAGTGGCAAATTAATTTGATAAAAGTGCGTTGCAAAATGCTCAAACATAAATAAAAGCGTACACTAGTTTAATTAATTCCATAATTTAAAGAAATCCCCATTAGAGAAAAATTTCTGAAATTTGGTGCTTAGAAAGTTGCTTACTTCAATTTTTTTTTATCTTTTAATAGAAATTCCAATTGCATTAAAAGACTTCAACTTGACTTTGAATAAATGTCAGTGCATATAAAATCTGTTCCATAAATATAACGACTTTAATATTTAATATGTTTAGAAAGCATCTTTAGCAAAACTTTGCAAATTGATATTATGAACTTTTGGAAAGTATTTTGAAATATTTATCAATACCTATCAAGCAATCTGTTGCTCAGACTTGTATTGTCAATTAAAAATTTGAATAATTTATTTACCCCCTTTCAAACCTTATTTATTTTGGAGCTGAAGCCCACAAATACCCATGTCAAAATCTATGTCTACTTTGGGTTCTTTTATAACATTTTTATGTTCTACAAGAACTGCAGACACGATAATAAAACTGCGCAGCTTCTATACAACGAGGACAAGAGCTGCAGAGCCCCAACTCTGCTTGCATATAAATTTGTAAATCGATTTTGAAAACTAACAAAACAAACTTGCTAAAATTCAAAAAGACAAGACAGAGTGAGAGACGAGACGAGACGAGAAAGAGCCGTAAACACACAGGCGAAGGCAAAACTAAACGATATTAATAAACAAAAATGATTTATGTGTCTGCAGCGGTCAAGCATGGAGCTAGGAACTGACCACTGAGCGCTGAGAGAATTGTGAACTATCTGCAGCAGTGTCCGACTGTGGTCAGTAACAACAGAAACAACAAAACAAAAACTGTAGCAGTTGCTTATCCAGCCAGCCGGTCAGCCGGACAGCCGGACAGCCATCCAACCAGTTGTTGTTATCTCGAGCCGTTAATCTAATCAATTGAGCGCTGGGCCTCAAGAACAATAACGAGAGCGAGCACCAGCACCCTCATAAACAAGGCGGTGCGGCGCCTGCGCAACAGGTAGAGGCAAAATGTGTGTACGACAAAAAAAAAAAAAAAAAAAAAAAAAAAAATGTAAAAGACCTTTTCAGCAATTTGGCCCGAAACTCGATGGCTCTTGGCAAATGTTGATGATGGCAATGCTACACGGGCGTGTGCATGACAAATGTTCTTTGATTTATTGTCAGTTTCAAGTGGACGCAGCCAATGTGCGCGCCTTAACTTT